AGAAGCCACGTTCAGCTTGATATTCCGACATAAAAGCTGCTCGTATATCAGGTTACTTGAGACCTGACTTTCTTAAGATAGTTAAGTTCTCATAGCATCGAAGTTGAAGAAAGGAACTATCCTTGTACATACCTCGCGATAATCGTCACCGGCACGAAACCTTGTGAAATCGGTCACTTTGCCCCCGGAGACATCTTTGTACCCTTTGTTTATTTTTAACGTCGCCACGAGCAAGAACAAAGAAGATGGGAAGAGGAAGAAGACGAAAATGGAAAAAGTGTGATCTCGTTTGACATAAAAGTGAGAAATCATTCGTGGAACGGTATGATATTGCATCGTTTCTTAACGTTTCCCGTCTCATCCTTCAAACTGATTATTGATTCTGTAACGAGATCAAGCCGTCTTCACCTACAATGTAAATACATATACTATACACACGAAATGCGTGCGCGACACACACGCACAACACACGCGCACACACAGACACACACACACACACGCGCGCGCGCGCGCGTGCGCGCAGACACACACACGCGCACACACACACACACACACACACACATCTAATGATACCTCGAACCTTTTTGATCGGTCATCAATCTGTAAGGCCTTATTTTCTCGCTATGAATCATGATTATACATAAAAGTAACTGTAGACAAGAAAAAGAAACCAATTTTAAATGATTTTCTTACAACTTCCTTTTTTTTCTTTAAGTCCAAGTAAGTCATCACAAATCAGATTGTTTATAATCATGGAAATGGTGCTACAGATCGACCGAGTAGTCTGATGTACTTTTCTTTTTTTTCTCTCTCTCTCATACGAAAGATCTCGATGAAGACGAATAACTATAAAACGCGTGTACGTCCTTGTAAAGTAAACCTCATCACTGTACCCAAGAGTTAGGGAAAAGGGCGATAGGGGACGGGATTTCCGGGGCCTGCGACACTACTTTCTCACGACTTAAAAGCCGGAACCAACGTCCCCATCGCTGATTAAGTTATTCGCCGGTATTTCCAGATTGCAAGGTTAATCCTTTTGCGGCATTTAAATATTCTTACACAGAATTTATTGTTAATCGTTGTCTTCTGTCCTTGTTGAATCAATAATAATAATAATAAAAGTAATAATAACAATGATTATAATAATGATGATGATGATGATGATTATGATGATTATAATGATAATTATAATTATTATGATGACGATGATGATAATGATGATGGTGGTGATGATTATGATGATGATTTTTATTATCATGATTATGGTTGATTATGGTGATGATGAAGATGATAGTGATAATTATGATTGATTATGATGATGATGGTAATAATGGTAATGATTATGACTGAATATGATGATGATGATGATGATGATGGTGGTGGTGATGTTTGTGGTGCCGATAGTAGTGATAATGGTGATCGTGAATGGTGATCATAATAAAATGATGATGATGATGATATTCTTGCTTTTGCTGCTAATGATGATGATGATGATGATGATGATGATGATGATGATGATGATGATGATGATGATGATGATAATTGACTGAGTATCGATTTTACAACAGATATTAATTGAACGGTTGCGAAAGAATTAATCTTGATAGAAAAAACTTTGTGGCACATAAACGGAGAAAAATTTCGAATTACAAAGTGACTGATATACGGTAATATTGTACCATTTGTTTGTTCTGATATACTGATAAAATATGCTGAATATTTTCAAATCTAGTTTCAGAAGTTTTATCGATAAATAATTGTATAGCCACAAAAATTTTGTTTTCAATCTGGTATGTCCGGTCCATAGCAAAAACAAAACGTGCCACTGCCTGCAGTATCGAGACACCGGATGTTGATACTTTCATATTAATAGATATTTAACGTATATTACAATTTCTTCTGGTTTCACGCTTTATCATTGTTCGATAATCACATCATATATCTCGAACATCGTGCATCGATATTTTCTTTTCCTTCGTCATTTTACTTTTCTCCTAACCGTACTACACATACAATTATAAAAATGAATTTGATACTCAATCATTAAATACCACTATATGTATGGCAACTGAATTCTTTTGCAAAAAAAAATGAAAAGGAAAAAAAAATAGAGAGCTGAAGGAAAAGATTAAGAAAATAAGACGCACGTTGTCGGAGAAATCAATTTCGCGTCTAAGGATATAAAAAAATAGTTGAATAGCGTTATCGCATACTTATACCATAAGCAATAAACCAAAGAGAGAGAGTGAGCAATGGAAAACAATTTGGAAATTAATACGCGTTGCAATATCTTACTGCTGGATTCATCGTCATCACTTGAAGCAGTGACAGATTTCTTGCTGGAGGAGAGAAAGGGAGATACCGCAGGACTGTGACAAACTTTCCTGAAATAAAATTCAAAAAGAATTATTGTAGACGCGTCTACAAACTTGTATTTAAAACCATGCAAATCTATCGAGTATCACATCTATTGAATATATTTTACACACCCAGCGACATCTATTCTCATCCCGTTGTTTAGAAATCTTGTCGTTTATTTCAATGATTAAAGTAAAACAATACTTACGAAATATAAAGAAAGGATAACCTCTGTAAACGTTCAATTTCATCGACACTCTCGCAGCTTTGTCATTATTTTTGCAGCCATTAGGCAATCATCCTTTCCCGCCATTTTCACGTCCGCGATTATCGATTTCGGAAGATACATTTCGATTATTCTATTCTTAGATATTTTTTAGCTATGGCTAGATTCGATATTTTCAATAATCGATATTTTTAGTAATCGAATTTAACTATAGTCTTTTTCAAACATCGATTCTAACGATCGATAATCGCTTTCGGCCTTTAAAAAATTAAAAAATAAGCAAAGAATGCCGAAAGGAAACGAATATTAATTCTTTTATGAGTTACAATCGTTAAAATTATATTTCGAAATTTTATAAAAATTCAAACGGACAACAGTGTTAGATATAGAATTTCCTACATCAAAAATATCGGTAATAGATTGATTTCAATTCGTGCGACTATTGATTTTTAGGTTAAAGAAAGAAGTTTCATTAATTACTTCTTGATATTAAATTAGTAAGGATTTTATTTCAATATAAACGTATTTGAAACTTGCTAAAGCAAAGTTAAAAATTGTATCTTTAATAGAAAAATTTTGAAAAGAAGACGGTTTTGTGTAACAATTGAAACACGGATTTTCAGTCGATGATCGATCATTAGTGGATCCAGAATGACATGAGAAAACTCACCATTGCTGTTGGGACCAAGTCTCGACGATCTTCAAGAGTAATTAGAAAAATTAAAAAAAAAAAAGAATTAAAAAGATAAAAAAAAAGAATATGGGCTAGCGGAAAAGACAATTTCTTTCGGCAGCTTAATTGTGTCGCGTCGTTTATAAATAATATGTAAAATTTTAGCTATATCGTGCACGCACTCAAAGCCGAAAAATTATGAAATAAAAAACGGTGCATTAATTTTGTTTCCACAATTTTCTCAATTTACTGGATTTCGAGACTACTGATCGATGCTGCGCAAATTACGAAAGCTAGTGACAGATAATAACAGCGTGTCAAAAATGCACATTCAGTTTGTGAGCAAGTTCATTAAAAGCGAGCATGTCTTTACGTGTGTACAAAAATTTTAAAAATGAAAAAAAGAAAGGTTAACTCAGAATCATTAAAACAGAGATCATATTGAAAGCGTATATAGTGAAAAGACATTGAATATAGTGTTAATTTACTATTAAATGAGATGAAAAGGAAAAATAAATATAAGAAAGAAAGTGAGAAAAAATTGAAACATTAAATCTTCGTAAATAAGCCCTGGTTTCGGAGTAAGAGTCCTAGAAATTATACAGCTTGTATTTTACAAATGTATTGAACGCAGCACTTGAGAAATACATCTAAAATACATTAAGCTAATTTTCATCCAAAATGTTTTTGGAGATATTCAAATATAACCATAACTATCAGTAAGTTATACCAAACTGATGCCGAGGTGAAATGAGAGCGTGTTTTAATTTTCAAATTTTGCATCAAAGCATACACGCAACAAAATATAAAACGCGCGCGATCGTGTGTGTGTGTGTGTGTGTGTGTTGCATGCGTGCGCGCGCGCGTGCGCACGCGTTTGCTTGTGTGTCGTCTGTGCATGTGTATAGAAGAAGTATGTGTGTGTTCAGAATACGTACGTCGTTATAGATATATATATATACATATATATCTATATGTATATCCAGCAGTAATAAAACTGAAGAGTTGTACTGTGCCAGAATATGTAATATCCTGTGTTATGATTGGAACTTGTTGTAATTCAGAAGTATTTTGAGAGAGTATCCTTTCTAGCGACGAGTCGGAACTTATCTGGTTAAAATTAAGCAAGTAATATATTTATTGAAGTTAAAGTATGGTAAATTTTAGAAACGTTGGAGTTATGTTTCATATAACGAGTTATTGATTTGTTTCACATGTGCAATCATATAATGTGAAATGATATATTGTGAACACTAAAATAGATCATGAAAATTATACTATAAATTTGAATTTACAAAAGTTTAATTGAACGTTATAAATAAAGACAAATACACAATTATACAAAGTCGAGCCAGAGACTATTTTTACTATTTTTTATAACAAATACCTTTTAATTCTCTAACTTGTAAATCATTGATTCTATGAATTATATTATTATATAGAAAATTTTATTAAAGCATTTTTTATATTTTTGCTCTAATAATCTTTTTTTTTATTGAACAATTTAATTTTATAATTAAAATTCAACAATTAGATAATCATAACTTTCAATTCGCCAAGAAGAAGTTTGCTATAATTTTAAATGATACTTATTTTGTAAATACAACATGTATTTTATAAATTCGTTATTGATAAGATCATTCCTAACGCGTAAATTTTTCGTTAACTTATGTTTTTTAATCTTTGCTAATATTACACTGTACATATCGATATAAATACAATATTGAACACGTCGTGGGGATATGTTAAAAAACTCGACATAGTATCAGCTGTAGATATCATTAACAACAAAAACAATTATTATTCCGCTGTTTGTTCCTTTTGAAGCAAGCAGTACCTTCGCTGCAATTCTTCTTCCATAGCTTCTAACTGTTCCCTATTCTGTTCTTGCGTCATTTGCTCCATTAATTCATGATTATATGTAGAATGAAGCATTAGAGCCAACACTCCAGCGCGAGTAGCCATATTTGCTCTAATTTGTCTCTCTTGTTCGACTAATTCATCTATCTTTAACCACTGTCTTACCCTTTCCATGTCGATCTCTGCTCGTCGTAATTTTTCCCAGACATAATGCTTTACACAGCTTTTTTTTGGTGCTCGACAAAATTCACCAGTTGTATCAAACACATTTGTAACCAATGGACAACCACACACCTCGGTTTCACTAATCTTTGGATCCTTGCAATGTTCAGGACAAAGAACCCTTAATCTTTTACAGTAAGTTCGATTTACAGGATTGTAAAAGTCGCAGAACATTACTTGTCCTTCTATACGAGTTTTGAAGATTGAGCCAAAGGATGCTTGAGACTCATACTAAAGAATATATACACATAATGTAATTTTTAATGAAATATTAAATGGTTATATATTTGTTAAGTTATAATGATACCTTATTGAAACATTTTTCCATATGTTTAATGGCAGTCCTCGAATGAATCTCATGACCACAAGTGATGCAATACATGCTCATTTCTGTATCATCATTATCATCCACTTCTGCCTGGGGATCAATTGTTGCATGTTTCGCACGCTCGATAATTCTGTCTAGCTCTGCATGTCTTTTATCTAACTCCTGAAGAATTCTTCGAACATCTTGCTGTTGTTTTCTAACAGTTTCTAATTGCCTTCTATTATTCTGCTCTGCAATACATGGTGTTAATGACCACTCTTGTATCCGTTGAGGCAGTACTTGGTAAATTCTGTTAGTCGCTAATTTTAATCCACACTCATCAGAACAGTATTTACTACCCGGTCGAGATTGTTTTGGGCAAGCAGGACCATGACAATGCCTTGGTACTTCTAAATGTTCATTTCTTTCATTACTGGAATCTCTCTTTCGTTTCTTAATAAATTTAGAACTTTTATTGAAACTCTTTGATGGTTTCAGTGGATCACCTAACACCCTACAGGTTCTTTGTATGCATCTAAGTTTCAATCTAACTGAAGGTCCAAATTTCTTCAAATGTCTAAACATTCAGTAATAATAAGAAAAGATAAAAACAAGCTACAAGTTTATCTATTTGAATGTTTTCATTACCTGCATGCATCACATTTTCCACAATTTTCAGTTCTTAAACATCCTGTACACTCTCCACAACGTTTTGATGATTTTTTTAGCGCTGTTGGATCCCAAGGTGCATCGTACTCATATCGATGTGCTCTTTCTTTTTCTTTATGTTTCTTATATTTACGATCTTCCTGGTCTGTTCTTCTTGGTTTGTAACGTGTTATCAAAGTTGGATCCTCTTCTCTGCAACGCTAAGAATATATTTAATTTGTATAATATTTTAAATGTAAGATACTATAATAAATTAGTTAAATTCACTGAAGTACTTACAATACAGAAAAATTGTTTTATATGCTTAGCATCTTTTTCTGTTATATTTATGCAATCACCATGATACCATTCTTCACATGCATCACATCCTCTACAATTAGTACAAATTTTAATCAAAATCAGTAAACAATAAATAATGATTGGTTTATATTTGTATCTTACATCATAAAACGTGAACTATCAGAACTTCTGCAAATACAGTAAGCTTGTCCATCCTGTTTCAGTAAAGTAGCAATCTTGCTTTTTCTTTCTGGCAGCATAAATTGTTTAGCTATTTCTTCTTTCTGTGAAGAAGAACTTTTATTTTATATTTGAATTTTGTAAACATAAACTGAGATAGAAAAGTAAATGGAATATGTTTATTTTACACATTTAATTACACACTCTAATGTTTCATAGTTTTTCTAAACCTCAAATTATTTTAGTCCAAGATCTTTTAGGTGAATTAAAATATTATCAATTTAAAAACTAAACTCCAATTATCTAAAAATATGTCCGAATATGAATTCCTATATATACATTAACATTCGTTCACATACCGATAAATTCTGTTGTCTTTTATCACCCATGATTATATATTATTGTCTTGAACAATATTTTAAAAAATATATTCTTTAAAAAGAATTTATTATACACAAACTTTTCTTTGGCATAACGCAGTGAAACATTCCGCCGCCATGATAGTGAGTGCTGTAGAAATGCACAATTTCATATTGCCTATAATTTCATAATTTTATTAAAAATCAATTACTGCGTTGTTATTATTATCTTTTAAAACAATATTACCTGTAAAATAAAAAAAAAACATTCTTGTCGATGTAAATATTTTTTGGTAAGGTTGTTTATTTTATTGCATAATAAAAGAATATAAAAGTCTTCTATTATTTAATATATAACAATAAAATTTATGTTTGAAATAGTATGTAGACATCAAATAAAAATAAAATAATATTCTTTATTTGTTTTCATATATTCATTATTAATTACAATAAAATCTGTTTACTTGTGTTTCATAGAAATATATATGTTTGAATATACCTATACTGTATTAATCAATATACATGCGCATGGAGCATCTCACGATGGAATACCAGTAACATAAAAGTTACTGTCGAGTGGAAGTTGATTTTATCATTTTAATGATATTTTTGTAAACTGTAAAAATACTTACATTACTTAATTGCAGATATTAAATATCGTGAAGTAAGAGATTGATAATAATTAAATAATATACAGAATTATAAGTTTAAGATCAATGAGAAGACTTATATTTCGAACTACATTTCTAATTGTTGATTTTACAATTGTGTTCAATTAATTGATGAAGTGGTGACATTTACATTAGTATTTTATTGTTCCTCATCAGTGATATCACTAAAAGACGATATGGTTGTTACGAAGAATTTTCAATTCCCTTCAGACGAAGAGTTAAATATACAAGAATTATCTATCACTTGGCCGTATATTCGAACTGCTGCTGCATTTATTGGAAAGAAATGTGAATGGTTTAACAATGTATGTGTTTCTTTTATATTTTTAACTTTTCACAATATAATTCTAATCTCTTTGTCTGATTTTAATCGCACAAATTCTAAAGATTATGTAATCTTATTGGTCTTTGTGCAAATAAATGGTAAATAAAATTATTATAGTTATTGTATAATTTTTAATTTATCATCAATCATTTACTATTAATACACATCAGGTCATACAAATCAGAAATTAGAAAATTTTGAATTAAAGTAATATCATTTCTTTAGGAGTTCATGTTATGTAGACAAGAATTAAAGGATCCACGTAAGTGTATGAAAGAGGGAAGAGAAGTAACAAATTGTGCAATAAATTTAATGCTAGACATCAGAAACCATTGTCGAAATGAATTTGAAGCACATATGAAGTGTGCATACGACTTATGTGGCGAACATAATGATGGCAGGTAATATATGAACAATATAAGGATTTATTACTACTTGATAACCAAACAAATTTGTATATGACATCCTATAATTAATGTTAAGAATCCTAATTATTACAACTTTAAAAAAGAAAAAAAAAGGAAAAAGAAATTTATAATATGTAATTGTCCTTTTTGTCATATTATAACAATTCTATAATGATTAGATGCAGTGACACTCAACAGTTACTTGATGACTGTATGTTGAAGAAATTAAATTTAGAACGACCACCTGATGGATACTTTTGCGAAGCTAGAGTGCATAACACATCAAGACCTAAGCCAGAGAAAAAGAAGAGAGAATATCCAGACAGAGTACCCGATTCAGTACCTCCACCATATCCTCCTCCAAGGTATATGGGATCTGAAGGTTTTGCTAATTAATTTTTGTTAGTGTTACTGTAAATTTCATAGTCAAAATATACAAGTTTGGGAGAACAAATATTGTTATATAATTTATTTGTTCTATTTGAGATTGTGAATAAATGTAAATGAATATAATGAAAACTGAGTAAACTTATTGATAAGCTATAAATCTTATTATATTCTTACATCTTTGTTTGTACAGATATTATTAACGTACTTACAAATTAAAATGAAAAATGATATGTATCTAATAATGTGCAAGCACAATTAACAATTCAAATTATATTTTTTTACAAAGAAATCAAACAATGAACAAAATAGTTTATTTTCAAACCATTATATTTTGTTAAAGTATAAAGATAAAAGTAAACTGTATTGATATACGGTTTTTACTATTGTTAACTGAACATTTGATTATCGTTAGACGATAAACAAATTTTTTAATGAAATTTAATTTACTTCTCACTTAAGTATGCTTCATAGAAATGTTTTTAAATAACATTGAAAACAATTCAAAGTGTCGTTTTTCATTTCTTAACTTTTCAATTATAACTCATATGTAATATACAAAATCCTTTATATATCCCACAAGTAAGCAAAATCAATGGATTTAGCTAAAACATTTTTTAAATTATATACACCTGTTATAATATAAACATTATATACATGATGAGAAAATTTTAGATTGTTCATGCAATGTGAAACTATTGTAGACAATTATTATTTCCATAGGAAAAAGTAAAAAGTTTCAGTGAATAAGTACAATTTTCCGAAATTTTCAAATATTTTTAAAATAGTTTAAAAATTATCAAATTTATGTATATAAATTATTTAATTTATTTGTATATTACATAGAATAAAAAATGGAAACGAAATAATGCCAATGAAGTTAAATTGCACGAATAATCTAAACCTTTTTTATCAGTCGTTTTATAATTCACATAATACTATGTAGACATGATATTTTGAAACACTACTTCATCTTTTTTAATATTTTTGTTTATAATTGTAGTAGTTTTTCCATATATCATAATCTGCATTACATTTTGTGTACAAACGGTGGGTGTAAGTTTGAGGCACTATGCAAATCTCTTATTATATAATAATGCTTATCCGAATTTCGTTGAGGAATTTTCTAGACTTTTCTTTGTAAAGAAAAAGAAATTTTTTCTTTAAAGGAAAATTACAAGCAGCCATTATTCTTGATTAATTCGTTGACACATTCGACTCATAATACTTATAATCAATAAACGTCTGTATCATATGTATATGTTCGACATAGTTGAAATATTAGTTCGATTTCAACGAACGTCAAGGAAGCAATTGTTCATATCTGAAAAAAAAATGATGTCACATTTTCTGTTAGCTCCATGTTATGTCATAACCATTCCAATTTGCACTAGGCGCTAAATGTACTCGTCTTCCCTTGTAAAAGAAAGTGACTACTCCACGATAACCAGTCCTTGGTACACCACTCTATATAAAAGTTGACGCTTGATTAATTTCGCAATCTCGCTACATTATGGAAGCTATTAAAACTCTTTTTTTAACAACTTAGATGCCAGAATTCTTATAAAAATTATAACAATTACCCTAAAATCATCCATTAATCCAAACTGCTTAGCAGTATTTTTGTATGCTTGTCTGGAATAATAAGGAATTCGTACTGCACCAGATGCTACAACTTTCCCACTTTTCAATTCCGAAAAACTCACCACCGTCGATTGGTATACTTCATTGACGAAATTTATATCATAATTGTCCTGCAAAATTTATCTCGAATAAAAATCAATTTCAACTTTATGTACTTTATATAACTTTAAGCCTAAACAATTAATGTATTTTTCTTACTTTTAATAAGTAAGTTAAGTTCATTTTTGTGAAATGCACAAATTCAGTATTCAGTTTGATATATTTTAAATGCCTTTCATAGAACATTCCACTGCAAATAACATACCAATTAAATATGTTTTTATAATCTGTTACTTAACATTATTTGGTACTATTATTGATTCAAGTACATACTTGCTCACTCCAGTTTTGCCAAATGTTCTAGTTCTAGATATTTCTGGTCGAATACAGGCTCTGTTTTGACGTTGTTCGGGTTGTCTTATCCAATCATCCCAATACCTATCATAATAAATTAATCATTTTAAAGATAACAAACAGGGTTTTTAATATTTTCACTTACGATTTGGGCCATTTCGGTGAAAGTTCAGTCCATAATTGCCGCGTTAACATCCAGCCTAACCCAGGGAAGAAGTCTGTCCTATATAATACATTTACTGCATTCTCGTCGACCAAACCAGCTTTACCATTATCATTCCACGCGGATACACACCATAAAGAACTGTCAGATACTAATAAAGGATATGTGCCCAAAAAGTATTCAAAAAAATCTGGGGCTATGTCCAAATCATCTAGATAGAAAATAATAGATTTCTAATAAAGCAATTTAACACATTTTTACACTTTTTAGGAAATAATTAATCTACCTTCAACTATTATCACAGTATCATATCTAAGTTGAAAGAATACATAATTAAGAGCCCATCCATAATGACGTGCAATTTTGAAATACCCTTTGAATTTCTTCTCTTTCGGTGGTACTTCGATATCAGATTGATCAGGTTGCTAAAGGACATTTTATATTGTTAATATCTTTTTCTAATTCAAAATCATTACAAAAAAAAGAAGAAATATAATGTAATACTTGTATGTGCACTATTTGATTTCTATATTTCGCAATAACTTCCGCAGTTTGTCGATGTTGGCAATCTTCTGAGACAATAATTGGAAATTGTTCTATGCTGGGCCTATATCTGATCAATTGATCGAGGCACCTTTGTACAGTAATGCGATTGCAAGAAAACACCAAAATTGCTATTATTGGAGATCCATTTGGTAGCTTTCCCTTTGTAGGAACATTATAGGAGGTTTCAATCTATTAAAAATAAAAACATATGGAATCATGAATATTTTAAGGTTGCAGAGTAGTTTATTTTTAATCATTATAAATATATCATGATACTTACTGAATACACAGAGTCTATTTGTAATTGCTGTACATCTTTATTATTTTCTATATCCTTTTTCTCCTTTTTAAAGAAAATCTTGTCTTGATTGACATGATTTTTATCTCTTTGTTTTTCATCTATATTTGCATTTACAATATCTATTTTTTCTGTTTCAAAACAAAAATGTTAAGCTATTAGATGTTCAAAAATGAAATTCAATATTATCATTGCAAAACATACTTTTACGTTGCTGATCTTCCTTAATATCCTCAAGTAATTCTTGATTTAATGCTATTTCTTGCTTTACTCTTCTTTCCAATTTATTAATCTGATTTGATACTCTAGCCTAAAAACAAAATTATTATTTAATTATTAATTCTAGGTATTCTCTTGAATGATTAACTTACTGCATCCCGTTCCTTATTCACTGGTTGATCAGAAATCAAAAAATATGTAATCAAGCCCCACAGAACAAGAGAGCCGAAAATAACAGTGACTGACCTGTTCCGCATGGCAGGACCAGGTGTCACCTCATCTGAAACATGAAATTTATAATAAAAATTAGAAAATTATGTATATACCATTAAACTATACACTTCAACAATAAAATTATGAATAAATTTTTTACAATGTAAATACAAATTTAGCGGTATATCATTATATAAAAAATTATTATTAATGACGATTAACAAACAAATTTCTTTTATAAATGAACCTCACATATTGAGTTACGTACCATTATGATACCCACGTAACCGCTTATCGAGTGTCGTTATACGAGAACAAGCATTTTCTCGTGAGTGATAAGCAATTGTCTCACGATTTTATTGTCTAATAATCGACAATTTCTCGAATAAAATAGATACGTTTATTAAGTTTGTTATTTCTTAAACAGAATTTTAAATAAAATTGCCAAATCTCACATATCGACAATGTGTTATAAACTCCATTGTTGAGTTACGCGGCAGACGCGGCGGAAATTTGTTCGGAAAGAAAATTATCGCTTTCCCTTAGGAAAATCATCAGAGAACCTTGATCTCAACCGTACGATGGAGCCACGTAGATATTTGTTGTGGCGCCCTCGATAATATACTAAAATCACAATTTTATTTTAAACGTTTACATTATAACGTCATTAAACCATAAGTATTAAATCTTAATTTTTGTTTAAAGTATTACAACGTCTTTTTTATTTAAATGTATTTAAATGAAGTAGGAATTATTATATGACTATATAGTTCAAAAGAAATTATATAACCTATAAAAGCAATAATATGTAATTTTATTTTTCATACTAAAATAAAGAACAAGAAGAAATATTACATAGTAAAAAAGATTTAGATAATAAACGAGATATTAATTAAATTTTCATTTTATCTATGGTAGCTTAAGCACATATGTATTATCGATTGTAACACATGATTAAGTAAGAATCTGATTAAAACAAAGATTAAATAAGATTTAATTGATAAGACGTTGAACCGGGAAAATTTATAACATCAAGTAAGCCAATTCTTGTAACTTGTAATAAAGAAATTTTTATTGCACAAATTATTTAAATTCCTAAAATACAAAATAAAAAAATAATTGTAATCGCTATTAAAAGACAAAAGAAGCCTTGCGTAATTTATGAAAACTGTAAAATAAATTAATTTCAGTGTGAAGAAAAATTGCTATTCCTGCACTGTTTTCGCACCAAATCTAACCAAAAAAAAAAAAAAAAAAGATGTCAGA